AATTTCTTGGGGTCTGGTTTGATGAAAGGATTACATGGAATATACACGTACAGAAAGTGTTAGATAAATGCAAGAAGGTGTTAAATATCATGAGGTGTTTAACTGGTAGTGACTGGGGGGCAGATAGGAAAGCCCTTAAGGCTGTGTGTGTATATATATATATATATATATATATATATATATATATATATATATATATATACACAGGATTAATTCGATCAGTACTAGACTATGGAAACATTGTTTATAATTCAGCAGCAGATACAACTTTACAAAAATTAGACCGTATTCAATATCAAGCATTGAGACTGTGTACAGGTGCAATGAGATCTACCCCAACATCATCACTACTGGTAGAAATGGGAGAAATACCACTCAAAATTAGAAGAGAACAACTAACTCTAAATTACTGGGAGGTCATGGACAGGATCATCCAACACAAGAGACAGTTAAACCTTGTTGGGAAAAAGAAGTAAAATATATCAGAAGTTTTGGTTGGATTGTGAATCAGAAAACGACAGAACTCAAAATAGATCAGATCAATATAAGTCAAACAACTCCATTACCAGTAATACCACCTTGGATACTTCCAGATGCCATGGTAGATTTTACATTATTGAAAAAAAGAAATGAGAATAATGGGTTCATTTTAAATTCAAATACAGTACAGAACCATATTGATACATATTACAGCTATGTTCAAATTTACACAGATGCTTCCAAGAACTTAGTAAATAAAGTCGATGTAGCTTTCATTGTTCCAGAGTTCAACATCAAAGTTAGGAAAAGAAGTAACGATGGACTTTCAGTGTACACAGGAGAAATGCTCGCAATATTATTAACCATTCAGTGGGTTGAAGAAACAAGACCATTGAGATCAGTGATTTGTTCAGACTCCAGTTCATCCTTAGTCAGTTACCAGTGTAACCATTCAGAAAGCAGCCAGATATTTTAATAGAAATTCAACAAACACTATACAGAATAAATATGATGGGTCTAATGATACATTTTTTATGGATACCAGCTCATTATGGTGTTACAGGAAATGAAATGGCAGATAAAGCTGCAAAGGAAGCCACTAGAAATAAATTGGTGAATTTAGTAGTTAATTTTAGTAAATCAGAAATAAAACTTTTAATAAAACAGAAAATGAAGGATAAATGGCAAAAGATATGGGAGGAAGAAAAGAAAGGACGCTGGTTCTATAAAATCCAAAAGAAAACTGGAGACATGAGAAGTACAGGGAGGACGAGGAGAGAAGAAACAATTATTTCTCGTCTCAGATTTGGGCATACTGGGTTAAACAGCACTCTTTTTATTTTAGGGAAACACTGCACTGGTAAATGTGAGTACTGTGGAGCAGATGAGACAGTAGAGCATGTAATGTTACACTGCAAAATGTATGAGGAAGAAAGACGACATTTGATTCAAAATTTAAATAAAATTAAAGTAAAACTAGAATTAATTGATTTATTCAGAAATAACTCTAATAGTAAAGTTTATCAGATAATCTTTCATTATCTTAAATCAACACAGTTATTTAAGAGGATTTAATCCTTGAGTGACATTTTGGTCCACACTCCTTACCAGTCGGTGGCGGTAATGCACCAATTTCGTTGTTTGCCAACCGCCAATAAACCTCAAAGAAGAAGAAAAGACAGTTGTCCAAAAGACGACCATTGACACCTTGCACAAGGAGGGCAAGACACAAAAGGTCATTGGTAAAGAGGCTGGCTGTTCATAGAGCTCTGTGTCCAAGCACATTAATAGAGAGGTGAAGGGAAGGAAACGATGTGGTAGAAAAAAGTGTACAAGCAACAGAGATAACTGCACCCTGGAGAGGATTGTGAAACAAAACCCATTCCAAAATGTGGGGGAGATTCACAAAGATTGGACTGCAGCTGGAGTCTGTGCTTCAAGAACCACCACGCACAGACGTATGCAAGACATTGGTTTCAGCTGTTGCATTCCATGTGTCAAGCCACTCTTGAACAAGAGACAGTGTCAGAAGCGTCTCTCCTGGGACTGCTGCTGAGTGGTCCAAAGTTAAGTTCTCTGATGAAAGTAATTTTGCATTTTCTTTGGAAATCAAGGTCCCAGAGTCTGGAGGAAGAGAGGAGAGGCACAGAATCCACGTTGCTTGAGGTCCAGTGTCAAGTTTCCACAGTCAGTGATGGTTTGGGGCCATATCTTGGTCCACTGTGTTTTCTGAGGTCTACAATCAACGCAGACGTCTTCCAGGAAGTTTTAGAGACTTCATGTTTCCTGCTGCTGACCAACTTTATGGAGATGCAGATGTCATTTTCCAACAGGACTTGGCACCTGCACACAGTGCCAAAGCTACCAGTACCTGGTTTAAGGACCATGGTATCCCTGTTCTCAATTGGCCAGAAAACTCGTCTGACCTTAACCCCATAGAAAATGTATGGAGTATTGTGAAGTGGAAGATGTGATACACCAGACTAGGGCTGGGCCAAATCATATTGTTCACGATAATACCAGTAAATAAAGCTTGCCCGGGAAAATAAATGATATCATGATATGCTAATTTCATGACGTAATACATCAGGGTGCCCCGCCCAGTTAACAGAACTGAGTGTGTTAAACGACAAAACTGAACAGCGCACTCCCTGTCCACCTGTCGGTACTGGCGTAACGCTAATTGGTTGCACGCAATACTAGCTAGCTAAAAAGCTATAAACAAACAACGTGCGGCTCAGCTGTCTCTCCACCCAGCTCTAAACTGCGGGTACAGACAGCTCAACTGTCTTTCCCTCCCCCGCACCCCGCTCTGAGCTGCCTGTACAAACACACGTGGCTTAGCTGTGTCTCTTAGTTCCACAGCCCATGGACCAAGAAGAGTCAGGTGATCAGAGACAGAGCATCAGATAAATTAAATCATTCCTGTGAGGAAGCTGAAACATCACAAGCTTCAGCTGATCACCTTGTCACAACTTTTGAAGTTATAGCTCATTTGAAGGCAACATTTATTTTGTTGTAGGTTACATTTATGCTCAACAGATCTTAAGCTTCATTTTATTTAGTTATTTTGGGAACTTCACCTGCACTTTAGTTTTTGTGGTGGATTTGTTGATCTATATGTTGTGCAGACTTTTTCAATGTAAATAACAGAAGGATCATTTTTATTTTATACTTGGACTGAATCCAGTTTTAAAACTAGGCTCAAGACTTTCCTTTTTGATAAATCCTATAGTTAGGGTCGGCTTGGGTTTCCTGAGCTGTCCCTTAGTTCTGCTGCTATAGGTTTAGACTGCTGGAGGACAAACTGACCACACTTTTCACTCTGCTACTGTCTTTACTTACTCTGCTCAACCTGTTTTGTATTTGTAATTATTTTCTCTATCCTTAACATGTGTTTTTTTGTCTTTCTGGTACACCTGGACCTATACCTAGACCTACCATTCTGTGTTGGTCTGTCTCTGCTTCCTGTCCTCTCAACCAGCCGGTCAAAGCAGATGGTCTCTTGTCCTGATCCTGGTTCTGCTGGAGGTTTCTTCCTGTTAAAGGGAGTTTTTCTTTCCACTGTCTCCACTGTGCTTGCTCAGGATGGGAGACTGCAACGAAGCCAAGATTCATCTTGTCTGCTGGATTCTTTAGATAGAGAACTTTACTAATTGACTTCTATGTGAATGTTCCTGTAAAGTCCCTGAGACAACTTTGGTGTGATTTGGTGCTTTATAAATAAACTGAATTGAATACTTTACTAAATAAAGTAATTCCAATAAAATTAACCCGTTTTTTTTTATATTTAATACTGCAAAGCAACATGTTAATTTTGTCAAATGAATAACTATAATTTCTGTCTTTCTTTTTGTTATCGTCAGAATGCACTGAAATATCACAATATTATATTTGAGCCATATCGCCCACCCCTGCACCAGAGCCAACAATTCAGAAGAGCTGAAGGCCACTATCAGAACAACCTGGGCTCTGAGAACACCTGAGCAGAGACAGACTGATCCACTCCATGCCACGCTGCACTGATGCAGTGATCCAGACAAAAGGAGCAACAACCAAGTATTGATGCTGAACATGTTCATACTGTTCAGTTGGACAACATTTCTAAAAATCTTTTTTTATTGGTCTTAATATTATAATTTTCTGAGATACTGAATTTGTGGTTTTCATTAGTTGCCAGTTATAATCATCAACATTAAAATAAATAAATATTTGAATATATCAGTCTGTGTGTAATGAATGAATATAATGTACAAGTTTCACTTTTTGAATGGAATTACTGAAATAAATCAACTTTTTCACTATGTTCTAATTTAATGACCAGCACCTGTAGGTGGGGGAATTTTAACTTAATTAAAATAAAATGTGGCCTAAATGGAATGGCAGAGTTTAAGGCTTTCAAAAAACATGTAAAAAACCTCCAACCCTACTTGATTATCAAGCGTTTACACGTGTCAACGTAAAGAATTGAAACTAATACGAAAAAGAGACTGGAAACACCTAAAGCCATTTTTAGATAAAAAAACATTCACAGCAAACCCATTCAGGGAAAACAAGAAACATTCGTGTTTATTGGAACAAAACATCTTTTAAAGCATGTCTTCTCACATAAGACGGTACCACCAATGAGTTTTTACCCCCAAAATATACAAAACAGAAGTAAAAAAAACTTCTTTCACGGTGCTCATAAAGCAGCTACTATAAATTATGATTAAAAACAGAATTACAATATAAACTCGATTTAAAACAGGTGGCTGGACCGTTGGGTAGCACATCAATTGTGGGGGTTTTACTTTTAAAAATAGCAGCATTTGTGTTAAATAACTTACTCAATTTCTTTAAGAAGATAAAATAAAAACTAATAAATGATGCTAATTTCAGGGGAAGCTGAGCTGCAGTTTGGTTCTTTCTAAGGCAGTCTGTTGTTTTACATGTGTGTGCGGTGACGTGAACAGAAAGGTGAGATTGTCACTTCATCGGTGTGTCCTCAGAGACCCTGAGCAGGCCGAGTCTGTCATTTTGACACAAGTACTTAATGTGAAATAAATGGCAACGCAAACCCAAAACAAGCGCACATGAAGAGCTCCTCACGCCTTGTACTTCTCCTTCCCTGTTTCACTAATGACGCAGATGTGCTGAAACAGAAGAGCCATCCATGAGTGTTGGATCTGTCCACGGTCTCACCCAGAATTACTCCGTTTGCACCTCGTTTTCTTTGCCTGCATGAAATACTTACATTCAGATCTCGAAAATACTCGTTGTAGTCTAGCGCGTATCCCACCACAAATTTATCGGGCACCTCGAAACCTACGACTGAAAGGAAAGAAAAGTAATGAGTTTCCTTTTTAAAGACGTGGACACTGAACTGGCAGTCGTACTTAAAATAGCAAGCCGTGACAAGTTTCAAAACCGGTTCCTTCGATAGAAACGTCCGTAGATTAATCGTAAAGAATGTTTGGCAGCACCAACAACCAACGATGACTGTGCAGAGGAGACGTTTCTACTGCTGTCCCTGCGCTAGCAAAGATAGTTTTTACCAGCTTGGAAATCCTAATTTACAAATCTGGTTCGAAGTTTCATGGACGGCACGGTGGCTCAGTTGGTAGAGCTGCTGACTCGCAGCGAGAAGGTTGCCAGGTCAAATCCCAGCCGGGGACCTTTGTGGAGTTTGCACGTTCTCTCCGTGCTGTGTGGGTTTTCTCCAGGTACTCCAGTTTCCTCCCACAGACCAAAAACATGCACGCTAGACTGACTGGTAACGCTAAACTGTCCTTTACTGTCCCTGTCATGGACTGGAGACCTGTCCAGGGTGTCCCCCACCCCTCACACAGTGATTGCTGGACATGGGCACCACTGACCCCCGTGACCCCAAAAGTAAGAAGCGGGTAAAGATGATGTCTGGAGGAAATCATCATGAGAAGGATTCAGACAGATGTGACAGGATTTATATGACTGAACCAGACAAATCAAGCTGGAAACGTTCTGGGGTTAAAAACGCAGCTTAACAAGCGGTACGCCACGTCCCCCGTCACTGAGGGAGTCGAATAGTGAGCGTTCGTAGTTTTTGAGAGGAACGTTTTTGTGGACTGGAACTGAACGGGGAATGCAACTGGACCTTAATAGTTTTGGTGCAAGGTGTTCAAAGGTATTTTTTCCTTTTGCTCGTTCGAGGCAGGGACAGATCCAGCACCAGGCCCAACGGTGGAGCCAGGGTGCGGAGGGGGCCTTGGCCACCATAGATTAATCTTCAGCCACTCCAAGGAACATCCTAAACATGTGAGTAAACTATTTTTAACCAATATTAAAACTAGAAAACATGGTTCCCTCAAATGATAGGGATTGCCTGTTTACATACACAAAAAGTGGCGGCCATCTTGGATTTCGACTTGGCAACCCAGTTTTCACGGTGACCTTTCTTACACCTAGATGCAGCCATGCGCTAAACTGGATCTCAGCGCGTCACTCGTTTTTCAAGTTACCATGTGCACAACATGCACAGACGGTCAGTATTTCCAGTCCCCCCATTAGCCCTGCAGCTAGCAGATATTTTCTTTGTAGCATGTATCTCCAAACCTTTAAAGCCCCCAGTATACCTCCGCTTACGTCCATACGCAGAGGTACGCACGTACGTACGCGGAGGTACGAGCGTACCCCGCAGGGCATGTCCGTGCAAAGCTCAATTTTTACGACCGCATACACGGTGTCGCACAATAAACTGCCCAGAGACGGACTGTTTTGTACGTGACACCAATGTATTAAATTCCCCTTCTTCATCCCTGATCTGGCCTTTTCTTTTGTTTTTTTGCCAAGAGGCAGTGATCTCTTCCTCCTCCGTTGATGCCATGACTGAAATGGTGAGAAATGGAGGAACTTGTCACGAGCGAATTAAACTCAGGTCCAGCGTGGCTGCGGGAGGGTCTGGAGATTTTCTGGTGGGCTGGTCTGATGTGTGGGCTGTAGAGCCAGCGCTCCCTGTTTTTTTTTTTTTTTTTAGAACTTTTTATTAACATATAAACACAGAACACCACTGAGGCTGAGAGCGCTCGTTTTTTTTTCCTGACCTGTCTATCAATCCAGTAGGCGTGTTGGCAAATGACCAATCGGTGACCTCAGTTTGTCCCGAAGGTAAACGCCCCTTGTCTGTGAAGCTGCTCAGGGTGTACGCTGGAGTACGAAGTCTGAACCCTCTGCGTACAGTACACGCGTACGTACGCGGGAGTATACTGGGGGTTTAGGGTCCCACGGCTCTGGAAAGACTCTGTTATTGTTCCAATCCCAAAAACCAAGACTGCTCAGTCCCTGAATGACTTCAGGCCTGTTGCCTGGACTTCATTATAAAGTCTTTCAAAAACCTGGAGCAGGAGATCCTCTGGTCAAAAGTTGAAGATCAATTGGACCCACTTCAATTTGCTTATCGTTCATGTAGAGGAGTGGAGGACACAACAGGAACTCTTAAATATGATTTTAGAACACAAGGGTGTCAGAAGCATCTGTAATGTGTGTGTGTGTGTGTGTGTGTGTGTGTGTAAAAAAAAGTGTACACTATTGTACAAAAAAAGCAACATATCATCTAGAGTTCCTTAATTAATTCCATTTAAAACGTGTTTCTCACCAAGTTTATTCAGCCGTGGCTTTTAAAGACATTTCAACTTTAATGCACCTGAACACACCGCGTCTCTTCCACCTGCAGCGTCTGACAGCTACAGACGTAGCGCTGCACTTCTCTCAAACATCCTCTTAACCACGTATATGTTTATTATCAACCCGCCGGTCAACAATAAGCTTGCTAAGCTAGCAACACAGAGGTGTCTCCACTCCTCCACCTGTGAGCGATCTGCCGAGGCAGGAGGAGACGCAGAGGAGAAACAGTGCTGCTGCTGAAATGGAGGCAACCAGGAAAACCTGGAGTGGACTTTTAGTGGTTTGAGTATTCTCCTGCTAATCAAGTGGAATGGATTTGTTCACAAAGAAAGATAAACTGTGCCAACTGAACTAAAGTTTCATGATAAGTGTGTGTGTGTGTGTGTGTGGGGGGGGGGGGGTGTTCCAAATGAACGTTATTTGAATGTGGGGGACACGCCCCTTCCACATATAATGGTTGGGACACCTACGTTAGGACACAATAAAGTCCGTGCTCAGTAATCCAGGTAGACAATCCAACAATTGTCAGTGAGGTCATCTGGACAGTTTTTATTTTTGTGCTGAAACGTTTCACCTGTTGGGACACCTTGAAGGTACAAAAACCTTTTTTTAAATTAATTTTTATTGACTTTTCGTCTTTTTAACTGTATTCAGCCTCACATTTTAGCAGAGAAATTACAACGTCTGTACGGTCTGGACTCCGGCCTCATCTGTTGGCTTGTGGACTTTTTAACTGTTCGGTCTCAGCAGGTGAGGGTCAGTGGGGTTGTCTCTGATGTCCTTCTGTCCTCTACCCATTCCCCTCAGGCCTGTGTTCTTTCACCCCTTTTATTCATTTTATATACAAAAGATTGTCGCAGCCAGTTCCCACAGCGTCACATCTTAAGGTTTGCTGATGACTCTGTCAGCCTGTCCCTTCTCAGCAGTGGGGACCCAGACCCTGGTCCTGTGGTCGGGACTTCACTGGATGGTTGAGTCTTCCTCTTTAGAGTTAAATGTTTCTAAGACAAAGACGATTGTCACTGAATTCAGAAAAGACTCTTCAGCTGCTGCTCCTGTGGTCAGTAACAGTGAAGCTGTGCTGGTGCATCAATATAAACATCTAGGAGCTGTTCTTGATGACAAACTGACCTTTGACCCCCATGTGAACTCTCTTTGTAAGAAGTTCCACCAGATAATGTTTTTTTATCAGAAGCTCTGGGTTTAATGTTGATTCGACTTTTATGAGAAAGTTTTATTGAGTCTCTAACTTTCATCTTCATCTGCTGGTTTGGACTTTTGACCTAAGAACAAGAACAAACTTAGGGATTGTCAAGATGTGCAGCAGAACTGCTGGCATAGCCCTACAGAACCTCTCTGACCTACAGAACCTCTCTGACCTACAGAACCTCTCTGACCTACAGAACCTC